TATTCTGACTGTGAAGCCACCAGCACCCATCAGTGACTTTGTCATGAACCAAGAATTACTGAAATCAAATAGCTGATTTTGGGTACTCCTAGCAGAAGAGTTTACCATTAGTAATTCCACAGTCACTAGTGAATGTAGCCTTACAGCTAGTTCACGATGTACCAGGTGTTGCGCACCCTGGTATGGATCGTTCAGTAAAACAAGCCAGATTGAAATACTTTTGGCCTCGTATGGCAACTGATATTTCTGAGTATGTTAAGAAATGTAGTGCCCTGCATGCAACATAAAGGTAATGCTAATGGTCCTAATCCAATCCAAGTGTATCCAACCACTAGCGAACCTTGGGAAAGAGTTGCGCTAGATTTGTTAACTAATTTCCAATGTTCCCTCCAGGGCAACAAACATCTATGTGTTATGGTAGATCATTTCACCAGATATTGTGAGTTAGTTCCTATTGCAGATAAGACTGCCGAGACAGTAGCTAAAGCGTTTAAAGAACGCATTATCTGCAGGCATACCACCCCTAAGTCCCTAGTAACAGATAATGGAGGTGAATTCTGTAATGAGATTCTTGAAAATTTGTGCTCCTTGTACAAGATCTCTAAATCCACCATTGTTCCTCATCACCTGCCAGCAATGGGTTAGCGGAACGTACCAATAAAAAAGTACTTGATGTCTTGAGAGCCACTATCAATCCCAACAGTGAAACTTGGGATGAAGTTAAAACCTGATGTGCATGTGCTATAAATTCTGCTTACAATATTTCTATAGGTGACACTCCACATTATGCATTGTAAAGGTGTAGATAAACGTTTGCCTTATGAGTTGCTATATTCTAATCCGAAACCAAATTACAACCCTAGATGATTTCATAGCAACTCGTACCATTTAGCTCAAAATGTCTTTAGAAGAATCCCTGAAACACTTCATAAATCAACAGCAGAATTTACAACAGTCGCAAACACTCGAGCAAAGCCATCCAAAATCAAAGTAGGTTCGAGAGTTATGCTGACTAACTTAACAAAACGTCCCGCAATGCCTAAGCTTGATCAAAAGTTTGTTGGTCCTTAAACGAGTAGTTGAACATATCACTGGTAGTAAGTATAAGGTTAGAGAAATTAGTACTGGTCAGTATAAAGAATCGCATTTAGATCATCTGAAGTTAGTATGTGATGATAATGATGTTCCAACCCAGACTAATGTGACAGACTCTGACAATCCTCCTGATCCTGTACTCTCTACCTCTGATACCCCATCAGATGATCAACCTGAATGTCGTTATTTTCCTACGTACACGACAGGTATTGAGATATCCTCAAGTATCATTTGTAACTACCAATTCAGATTTGCCTCAAATACAGCATGAGTTAGCCAGTGCAACAGAGTTTGATCCTCCCAGAGATGACACCCATTCTGCATATATCAATCTCACCCTAGCAGAGTTGGGGTTAAATGTAAATAACCTGTATAGATGAATAATTACAGTATCAACTTATCAGTATTCAAGAATTTTTTTTTTTTGTGTTCACGTTCTCTCCGAATTCTGAGAGTTAACAGTCTAGATTTGAGGGCACCAAATCTGCCTTTCTGTTAAACACTTCTTTCTTTGTATATATTCCTTCCTCAGAATCCGTAGATCACATGAATACAGATCGATCGATCAAATTTTTTTATCACTTCTATTGTGTAATCCCAACGTTGAGTTTCATTCGATGAGTTGTGCTATATTATACCTTGTATTGCATTACAGTTTTATTACAGTTTCAATTATGTAAGCTTCCATTCCAATATTCTACTTATGTATGTTATAATGTTCAATTGTTGTGTACTTTGACATTGTATAGAATCAGCCCAAGCCGTACACCTGCCGTCTCTAGTTTGTATTAGTTGTATGTCGGGACGACGTACGTTAGCGTCGCCGAGCTCTCAGTAGTAGTACCAGTTCCTAGTAACCAGTTACCAGTAACCAGTGTACCAGTAGATGACTCACTACGAACTGTCTGTGTGAATCATTGACTGTATTCATATTGCTGCTGACATAGCAGGATTTCAAACACCCTCACCCGTAGGCACTATGGGTCAGTCGTAGTAGGCCAGCAGAGAGAGACAGTCGGCTGTTGGCGCTTTCCCATACTTCCCGTTATATTATTATACATACTATCACCTACGTGAGCATTTTATACCCATCCACGTTTCGAAAACCCCACATGACACATTAACTCAAGGGTTGGGGAACCTTGTGTTGGAAGGCTGCATTAAGCTGTAAATCTAATAAGCTGCATTAAGCTAGCTGTAATCTTAATAAATCCACATTAAAGTTAGCTGTAATCTATAAAGCCACATTAAAGTTACTGTAATCTAATAAAGCCGCATTAAAGTTAGCTGTAATCTAATAAAGCCACATTAAAGTTACCTGTAATCTAATAAAGTCACATTAAAGTTACCTGTAAATCTAATAAAGCCACATTTAAAGTTACCTGTAATCTAATAAAGCCACATTAAAGTTACCTGTAATCTAATAAAGCCACATTAAGTTACGTGTAATCAAATTTAAAGCCACATTAAAGTTAGCTGTAATCTAATAAAGCCACATTAAAGTTAGCTGTATCTAATAAAGCCACATTAAGTTTAGCTGTAATATCTAATAAGCCAAAAGTTAGCTGCAATCTAATAAAGCCACATTAAAGTTAGCTGTAATCTAATAAAGCCACATTAAAGTTAGCTGTAATCTAATAAAGCCGCATTAAAGATTAGCTGTAATATATAAAGCCACATTAAAGTTGGCTGTAATCTAATAAAGCCACATTGAAGTTAGTTGTAATCTAATAAAGCCACATTAAAGTTAGCTGTAATCTAATAAAGCCACATTAAAGTTAGCTGTAATCTAATAAAGCCGCATTAAAGTTAGTTGTAATCTAAAAAAGCCGCATTGAAGTTAGTTGTAATCTAATAAAGCCACATTAAAGTTAGCTGTAATCTAATAAAGCCACATTAAATTTTAGCTGTAATCTAATAAAGCCACATTTAAAGTTAGTTGTATCTAATAAAGCCATTCAAGAAATTTTGATTAGATATACTGCAAATGTCTGTTATTCTGTAAAAAGTTAATTATTATATAATAGCTTCAAGAAAAATAATTCATTCAGAATGCTGCACTTGAATGGCCACAGTGTTCCCACCCCTGCATTACCTCCGAGATGGCCACAGTGTTCCCACCCCTGCATTACCTCCGAGATGGCCACAGTGTTCCACCCCTGCATTACCTCCGAGATGGCCACAGTGTTCCCACCTGCATTACCTCCGAGATGGCCACAGTGTCCCACCCTGCATTACCTCGAGATGGCCACAGTGTCCCACCCTGGCATTACCTCCGAGATGGCCACAGTGTTCCCACCCTGCATTACCTCCGAGATGGCCACAGTGTCCCACCCCTGCATTACCTCGAGATGGCCCACAGTGTCCCCACCCCTGCATTACCTCCGAGATGGCCGCAGTGTCCCCACCCTGCATTACCTCCGAGATGGCCACAGTGTCCCACCCTGCATTAACCTCCGAGATGGCCGCAGTGTCCATACCCCTGCATTACCTCCGAGATGGCCGCAGTGTCCCCACCCCTGCATTACCTCCGAGATGGCCGCAGTGTCCCCACCCCTGCATTACCTCCGAGATGGCCGCAGTGTCCCCCACCCCTGCATTACCTCCGAGATGGCCGCAGTGTCCCCACCCCTGCATTACCTCCGAGATGGCCGCAGGGTCCCCACCCCTGCATTACCTCCGAGATGGCCACAGTGTCCCCACCCCTGCATTACCTCCGAGATGGCCGCAGTGTCCCTACCCCTGCATTACCTCCGAGATGGCCGCAGTGTCCCCACCCCTGCATTACCTCCGAGATGGCCACAGTGTCCCCACCCCTGCATTACCTCCGAGATGGCCACAGTGTCCCCACCCCTGCATTACCTCCGAGATGGCCACAGTGTTCCCACCCCTGCATTACCTCCGAGATGGCCGCAGTGTCCCCACCCCTGCATTACCTCCGAGATGGCTGCAGGGTCCTGGAGTTTACCTGGAGAGAGTTTCGGGGGCAACGCCCCCGCGGCCCGGTCTGTGCCCAGGCCTCCTGGTGGATCAGCGCCTGATCAACCAGCTGTTGCTGCTGGCTGCACGCAAACCAACGTACGAGCCACAGCCCGGCTGATCAGGAACTGCCTTTAGGTGCTTGTCCGTGCCAGCTTGAAGACTGCCAGGGGTCTGTGGTAATCCCCCTTATGTGTGCTGGGAGGCAGTTGAACAGTCTCGGCCCCCTGACACTTATTGTATGGTCTCTTAACGTGCTAGTGACACCCCTGCTTTTCATTGGGGGGATGGTGCCATCGTCTGCCAAGTCTTTGCTTTCGTAGTGAGTGATTTTCGTGTGCAAGTTCGGTACTAGTCCCTCAGGATTTTCCAGGTGTATATAATCATGTATCTCTCCCTCCGCGTTCCAGGGAATACAGGTTTAGAACCTCAAGCGCTCCAGTAATTGAGGTGTTTTATCTCCGTTATGCGCGCCGTGAAAGTTCTCTGTACATTTTCTAGGTCGGCAATTTCACCTGCCTTGAAAGGTCTGTTAGAGTGCAGCAATATTCCAGCCTAGATAGAACAAGTGACCTGAAGAGTGTCATCATGGGCTTGGCCTCCCTAGTTTTGAAGGTTCTCATTATCCATCCTGTCATTTTTCTAGCAGATGCGATTGATACAATGTTATGGTCCTTGGTCCCCACCCATGCATTACCTCCGAGATGGCCGCAGTGTCCCCCACCCCTGCATTACCTCCGAGATGGCCGCAGTGTCCCCACCCCTGCATTACCTCCGAGATGGCCACAGTGTCCCCACCCCTGCATTACCTCCGAGATGGCCGCAGTGTCCCCACCCCTGCATTACCTCCGAGATGGCCGCAGGGTCCCCACCCATGCATTACCTTCTCAAATGTTAATAAACTTTTTGACACATATTCTATAACGTTCCCAATTTTTGTGTTTCAATAGGTATCACTCTTGGAGAGATCGGACCACGTTTAGGACTGAATTCTAATGACAATGGGTTCTTAAAGTTTGAGAACCACCGTATCCCTCGCACAAATATGCTGATGAAGCATTCACAAGTTCTTAAGGTGAGAAATTAAGTACTATTTATTCTAGTATCTATCTAGTATTATAACAATGTATATATTTATATTGCAAAATATTAATATTATTTTTGTCATTTTTTATTAATTTGTTGTAAAATGGCGAACTTCGAATAAGAAGTTTGATTAGGTGATTATTGTCACCTGGAGTGAAGGTTGCTGATCAAGCAGTGGCTGCCACACGAGCTACGATCTCATTTCCAACAAATCAAGTCGTTAGCGTCAGTGTTGTCAGCAGTATGTGTTTTATGTACTAATAAAATTTGCTTCGTTTATTCAATTTCAGAATATTAGGGTCACACTTCTTACCTCTGATAAGCTTAGAATTTGGAGAAATAAATCCATTATCTCTCTCTGTCTCTGTCTCTGTCTCTCTTCTCTCTCTCCCCTCTCTCTCTCTTCTCTCTCTCTCTCTCTCTCCTCTCTCTTCTCTCTCTCTCTCTCTCCTCTCTCTCTCTCTCTCTCTCTGGTATCTAAGTTAACCAGTCGAAGAATAGGCCATTTTTTTTATATTTCTTGGATTTTTCTGTATAACCTTTTGGTATTTTTTATTCTTTTAAGATCTCTTGCTCAAGAGGACGATTAGTAAAATTTATTTCATGGGAGACCGATGGGCCCTGGGCTGCTTTTTCTTATATATATATTCTGTTTGGTCTCATAGTCATACACTTTTATAATCAATATTGCTCGTGCTGAGCCTCAGTTATACACGCCAATATATTGCATATTTCCATCCCTAATATGCTTATATTTCGTATGAAAATAATTTCCTACATTGTTATTAATTAAATAAATCGGTTTTTCAGTACAATGGCTACTCAGTGTATATATATATATATATATATATATTTTATATATTAATATATTTATATATATATATATTTATATATATATATATATATATATATATATTAATATTGGAGGTACCACCTCTAGAACTGTTATAGGGACCCTCATCCTCAGAGAAAAGAATGAACTTGCTTCAGGGAAAAACTCAAGGTTCTCCCTGAAGCTGTTTGAGAATTTTCTCTTACCACCCCTATATTTTATATATATTTTATTTAAAGACAAAATACATTGACAAAACATTCACAAAAATACGATAGAAAGTAAAACAGCATTGGTAACTCAGAGCTACATCTCGAATACTTCGTCCAGCTCCCCGGCGGTGGGCCACATTATTATATATATATATATATATATTTTTATATATATATATATATATATATATATATATATATATATATATATATATATATATTGACACCTTCCAATTATTTAGTTTTACAAAGGTAATAATTATTTGCATACATGGAACTCATACTTAGTAAAGATTAACTTATAATATTTCATTTCGTAATTAATTCCTTTGATTGAGACCAATATAAAATATTTTTCTGAGTTTTCATTTTCATTACAGGATGGAATTTATGTTAAGCCGCTACACAACAAATTATCTTATGGGACAATGATGCTAGTTCGCGTAGGTATTGTTGGTGCTTGCAGCAGAAGCCTACAATATGCAGTCACAATAGCAACACGTTATTCTGCTGTGCGTCACCAATCCGAAATCGTTCCTGGGTAAGCAGAGACAAACTGGAAAAATTACACAAACATTACATATGATCCTCCGACACTGCTACCTGTCCGTGGTGGAGCTGTTTAATGACGCAGGTTTTGTGTCTAAAGAATCCAACAACCTATTTTTGGCTTAACTAGCAGAGGTATTTTAGCTTTTAAAATTTGCTGTTTGTTATAGCCAATGGAAAATGGTCTGGTGATGCCGACAAGATGTGGAAAAAGTCAATTATATATATAGTTCAGGATATTTATTAGAGGAAACGTTTCGTCACGAGTGGCTTCTTCAGTCCTAATACATTGATAACTAAGTCAGGTGGTAAACTGCGAGAGGTAGTAGTAGTAGTAGTAGTAGTAGTAGTACAGTTATGGTGAGACAGGTTGGGTTTGAGCCTTAAGGACCTCTGAATCCATCTCTCCACATTTGTATTACTACTACTACCACCCTCTCGCAGTTCACCACCTGACTCCTGCCACTATATATACTCGTTCTTAGTTATCTCTGTATTAGGACTGAAGAAGCCACTCGTGTCTTTCAACAGCTTATAGCCAATGACCTGAAAATAAACATGGATGTGTATTAGACGGCGAGTAATAAATTTGGATTTTTTCATTATGTGCTGAATATTCGAATTGAACCATTCAATGAAATGACGGGAATACAACTCATGGTCTGAAATTACCAGCCCATCGCATCAGCCACTGGACCCAGTAAGCCTTAGCAAAGTTTTCAATAACCACAACCATGAAAATGGGATGCCATTGATACCTTCGGCATTGTCTCGGAGAATTTCCCCTCCTATCTGTTGCTGTCATGCAACAATGTAAGCAATGTTGCAAGCTGTTTGTATATATTTACCCCTGGCACCCCAAATTTACCTACTACTCCATCCACAACGTTTTTACCCACTTTAGCATTAAAATCCCCAACCACAAGTACTCTCACACTTGGTTCAAAACTCCCCACGCATTCACTCAACATTTCCCAAAATCTCTCTCTCTCTCCTCTATACTTCTCTCTTCCCCAGGTGCATATACGCTTACTATAACCCACTTCTCACATCCAACCTTTATTTTACTCCACATAATCCTTGAATTAATACATTTATAGTCCCTCTTTTCCTGCCATAGCTTATCCTTCAACATTATTGCTACTCCTTCTTTAGCTCTAACTCTCTTTGAAGCCCCTGACCTAATCCCATTTATTCTTCTTCACTGAAACTCACCCACCCCCTTCAGCTTTGTTTCACTTAAAGCCAGGACATCCAGCTTCTTCTCATTCATAACATCCACAATCATCTCTTTCTTATCATTCGCACAACATCCACGCACATTTCGACTTCCCACTTGGACAATTTTCTTCTTATTCTTTTTAGTAATTATTACAGGAAAAGGGGTTACTAGCCCATTGTTCCCGGCATTTTAGTTGACTTTTACAACACGCATGGCTTAAGGAGGAAAGATTCTTATTCCACTTCCCCATGGATATAAAAGGAAAAGTAATAAGAACAAGAACTAAGATAAAATCAAAGAAAACTCAGATGAGTGTGTATAAATAAACGTGTACATGTATGTTTAGTGTGACCTAAGTGTAAGTAGAAGTAGGAAGACGTACCTGTAATCTTGCATATTTATGAGACAGTCAAAAGACACCAGAGCAATCCTACCATCATGTAAAACAATTACAGGCTTTCGTTATATATATTTTATATATATAATATATATAATATATATATATATATATATATATATATATTATATATATAATATATATATATTAGTAAGATCACAGTAAACATATATATTATATATTGCTGTACTGAGTTAGCCTTTGTTGTGTTCCAGACAACCTGAACCTCAGATACTGGATTATCAGACTCAACAGTATAAAGTGATTCCGCAAATCGCCTCAGTATTTGCTTTAATCTTCTCAGCCAGGAGTCTTTCAAAGATACAGTCAAGCGTGACAGCGAAATTGAAGGATGGTAATACTGATCTCTTGCCAGAGGTGAGACAAATTTAAAGGTATTTTTATTTTTTACAAAGTTGAATTTTACAGGCTAAGAGCTGTTATCTTACCTCAGCTCAGTCTTAAGAGCTTGTTAGGTAAAAGGACACAAGTGCAACTAATGTGACCTTTTTTATGGCAGCGTTTCGCTCTCCAGGACCTTTCTCAAGCCGTTACGGCTATGTAGGCTTTCTGTAAACCTGAAACCTTAGTGTTTTCTGCTTTGTGAATGAGGAAGTCTAGAAAAGGTAACTTGTCACTGGACTCTTCAAGTGTAAACATTTTAGCCGGTTGAGCCTTGACTGAAGATTCCGCACATCAAAACATTTGGAAATTATGAGGACGTCGTTCACATAACGTAACAAGTAGCGCTGGTGGGGATGATGTTGGAAAAGCGTTCACCTTTCAGGTGTTCCATATACAAGTTGGATAAGACGGTACAGTTAAAATTAATGCAGAGTTCAATCAGGTCAACGAAATCTCCGGGAGGTAGAGGAAGAATAAGCTTCTAGGGAGCGAAACGTTGCCACAATAAAATGTAACACGAGCTGCATTTGTGTCTTTTTTCCTAACATATTCTCGGTAATTCTGTAATACGGTGACCAGAACTGTGCAGCATAATCTAAACGAGGCCTAACCAAAGATATGTAGAGTTGAAGAGCAACCTGAGGACTTCTAAAAATGCTTAAATCTTTTGCTTGTGCTATTTAAAACAGAATCTAGGGATGCAAAGTACATAGGACTTAACTACGAGTTTCTTCAAATAATCGAATATTCCTTTATTCTCTGCAGTTTTCTCTGGATCGTTTTTCTTTTACGAACTCTGTGCTGCTTTTGTTTTGTAGTAATGTCACATTTTGTTGTCACTGTAAAATTGTCATGCAAAATAGGGCAGCAACACATTGATAATTGCTAATCCAGTGGTGTTTGCTTTAGCTGAAATAATAGTAACAAATACATATAATAATGACTGAAGATTGTTACTCTTAAATAGTTCAGACATGCAACAGTGACAGATTATAATGATTAGACTCAGGATAATCTAAAACAAAATAATAATTCACTCGTTTCCCGATTATTGTAGCTGCATTCCCTTTCAAGTGGGCTGAAAGCTCTGAGCTCAAGTGATGCTTCCTGGGGGGTTGAAGTCTGTCGCTTGGCTTGTGGAGGACACGGATACTTAGCGTCGTCCAACCTGCCACGCACCTATACCGGCACTACCTGCGCCATTACCTACGAGGGAGAGAACACTGTCTTGCTGCTCCAGGTTGCCAGGTACAAAAGGAAATAGAGAGGGTTGACGAGAATAGATAAATGATGTCCTTGTGGATTTGTTCTTAGTTGGAATGTTTAGTAGCGATGGAGTTATGAAGATCTTAATTAATAAAGGTCTCTAGGAACTCTTGAAACTAACAGCATCATTGTACTTTGAGAGAGATAGACCTCATCACGTGAAGAATACAGTTAAAAAAATTATACTACATTAGGTATACAGTTGTAAAAAAATTTCTAGTTGTACCTGTTGTTGGTGTCTGATTTAAAACTATATAATTTGCTCTGCTTATATTATTACTTTCACAAGTACTTGATTAAATTTTTCTTACCTTCACAGGTACTTGATTAAGTCGTACCGTTCGATTGGCAAAGAGACTGGTGCTTCATCTGTTTCTTACCTCGCTGATCAAACTTCCTTGGCATCATCATCATCAAGTTTTTCCAATAAAGGTAATAATGAACTTATTTCTGCCTGTTTAACGTATATGGATGAACATGGACATGAATTTACCAACTGACTTGTGATTGTCTCTTTGTATTTACTGGAATAAAGTTGTGCTCATGGTGTTCCGTTTTAAAGCTTTAATTTGTTGTGTAAATTTCAAGTGGTTTATATCCCACAACGCCCATATTTATTTTCAGTCCAGTAGTCTATTACTTGGTTATTTTAGGAAATATATTCTCAATTTTGTTACTCCTCTTTTCTTAGTTTGTATTTGTGTCCACTCATTTATCATGTTGATATTTTTTAAATCATTGCCTATTTTGTTTTAATTGTTTAATCAACTCTGGTTATAAAGTTAGATCTTTCTATTTACTAATCATTGCATTTTGAAGTTTATTTTTTCTTCATAATTCGTCTTTTTTATTATTTCTGTGTGTCATGGGCTAAGTGTATTCTAACCTTACCACTCTGATCCGGCAAAGTCACTAACCCGACACCCTACATGTCCCGATGGCCGACCTGTATTTTACTGCATTATCAACTTTTTCCGCACTCTCCTCTATTTCAATCGCATCCACTGGGGCACTGGGGTTATGGAATACGAGGATAACTTTAGCAGATCTTCAGTAACTGTAATACATCTAGTTGCTGTTTGGCGCAAAACCCCTAAATTGAATTGTGAGCTGTAAGAAGATTAGAGCAGTCAATCAATCAATCAAGTTTATTCTCTCTAAGGATTACAATGCGGGGTTTACAGATTTTGGTTATGTGTGATTTACATGTAATAAAATACTAATTACAGAGGGGGCCACTAGGACACCTAGCATGGTTAGGCATTTCGGGCAAACTTAGATTAATTCTTAACCCTAAATTATTACAAATTATGGAGTAAGTTGACTAAATACTAAGTGACTAAATACTAGTTTGTGAGTTTAACAATGTGAATGCTTTTGTTTTGGCACAATACATAGTTTCTATATTGGAGTATCACAGGCAAACTTATGACTAGTTAGGAATCGTTATTTTAAGATTAAGATTCGTATTTCTGTGCTTATAGTCAGATGGGTGAGTGTGTGAGCCACCAGGTGGTTTTTATGTAGTTAGTTGACGGGGTGTATCAGGGAGATAAGATGTTTTCTAACGGTAGTTTTGAAGGTGATGAATGTGTCTGCAGTTCTAGAGTTTTCAGGTAGGGTGTTCCAGATTTTAGGCCCTTTGTCATACATTGAATTTTTGTAAAGGTTTAGTCGGACACGGGGAATGTCGTAGAGATGTTTGTGTCTGGTGTTATGCCTGTGGGTCCTGTCACAACTATCAAGAAAGCATTTTAGGTCAGGGTTAATATTGGAATTTAAGGTCCTGTAATGTAGACTGCACAGTAGTAAGTGTGGATGTTCTGAACAGGGAGTACGTTTAGATCTATAAAGAGTGGGGGGAGGGTGTTGCCAGGGATGGGATTTAGTTATTATTCTTACTCCGGCTTTTTGTTGGGTTATTATTGGCTTTAGGTGTGTTGCTGCAGTTGATCCCCAAGCACAAATAGCATAGGTGAGGTATGGATAAATGAGTGAATGGTATAGTGTGAGAAGGGCATTTTGCGGCACGTAGTATCGTATCTTGGAGAGGATCCCAACTGTTTTGGATACTTTTTTTGTTGTGTTGGATGTGGGTGCTGAAATTCAGGTTGTCGACGTATAGGCCTAGGAATTTGCCCTCATTATGTCTGGCAGTTAGAGTGTTGTCGATCTTCATGTTAAGTTGCGCAACACCTGCTCTGCTGCCAAACATAATATATTAGGTTTTGTCAGTGTTAAGTGTAAGTTTATTGGCTGTCATCCAAGTCGATATTTTGAACAGCTCCTCGTTAACAATGGTGTTGAGGGTGGTAAGATTAGGGTGGGAGATGACATAAGTCGTGTCGTCAGCAAAGATAATGGGTTTCAGGTGTTGGGATACGTTTGGAAGATCATTAATGTAAATGAGGAAGAGCAGGGGACCAAGGACACTTCCCTGCGGAACTCCAGTATCAAGTGGCCTTGTTGATGATGACCTCTTACACCATAATGGTCAATTTTGTGGAGTAGGATGCCGTGGTCTACTCTGTCAAAAGTTCTTCTTAGGTCAATAAAAATTCCTAGAGGATATTCCTTATTTTCCAATGCTGTGTAAAGCAGATCTAGCATTTTTACAAATGCATCAATATTTAGAGAGGTGGCCAAAACAGTATTTAACTCGTGCATAAGAAATTTGTTAGTTGCTGCTTCTGGACTCGAGGCACCGCTTCAAGGCACCGCCAGAACCCAAACCCTTCGGATTACGGGAGTAGACAATACTGCATATTGTGTACAGGAATTAGCTATTCTCTGAATGTAGAATATACTTATGCATGAGAATAAGTTGAACCTAAAGCTCAAGGTAGATGACGTGACCAAAAGATTAGTGAGAAAATGTATAGCAAACTTAAACGCTGAATATCTTCATAAGTTTAGTGCTTTCTGCGAATGTAACAATGTATAACAAATAGATGAAGAAAAAAATATAAATATCTTATCGAAAATGACAAGTACGAGAGCATAAATAATGTTAATTTCTTTGGCTGTTCAGCTCTGGTCCAAGCATTCAAGTTGTCAGCCTTGTCCCTCGTGGCGGAAGCGGAAGCAAGACTTCAGAAGCTGTGCGATATGGGACAAGAGTTTTATCATGCTTGGAATTATTGCTCTGTTCTCCTGCTCAAATGTGCTGAGGTATGACTGTAGCCTTTTACAATATAGAAACACTGTGTTGTGAATTATATCAATGACTAAGTTTGGCATATTTGTCATATATGCTTTGTATTGCGTGCAGGTCTTGTGTAATTAGTTTGGGAACCTGACACTAAATGCAGATAATAACAAAATGTTTGGGATAAAAAAAAAGGATTCTGACAGATCTTTAAGATGATGAAAAAGATATGATTCAGAATAACTAATTTATTACATATATAGAGTGTATCTTTAGGAAACTAGACAGGGATTATTTTTTTTTGTCCCATCACGAGGAGTGCCTTAATGCAGGTGATAGGCTCTTGAGCCAAGGAACTGAAGCTAGCATCGCCTTCCTCGGATCAAACATGATTCCCGTCCATTCCCTAGGCGCTGTGTGGCATCAGCTGGTAAAACATTTCCCCATGAATGTGTAATTATTCCCTATTTTGTTTCCCTGGTACAACACAACTCATTCTTAGAAATTCTTTAAAGGAAATATAGGGGTCATAAACTGTAACTTAACTTTAGTTAAATTAACTGTCACGCACGTAGCTGCAACCTTAAACTTAGGGAGTGACACATTCGTCTCTCAACCCTTGAGTAGAGAGGACGTGTGCTGCTGCTACCCCCTGGTGTTGACTGGGTGCAGTAATATTTTCACAACATGGCGCAGGCTTGTCGCCGGCGGGTTAATACAGTCTGTATTGAATTAACCAGTGGAGCTATCACAGGGCCGTCTATGGAGTTACTTCTACCAGCAATAATTAGAGACACCTACGGCGTAGCTACTGAAGAGATTTGTGGACTTGCCTTGAATGGCACGAAGAGGATATTTCTTAAATTCAATTCGGCGAGCATGTATGAGGCAGTGGTGAACAAGTTTCAGGAAGTGGCCATACCTGTGAATCATGTTGTCACGGTGAGGATGCATGATGTATCAAGTTACTTCACTTGGGTGAAGATCAGGAATGTGCCATTCGAGGCGGATGTATCTGACATAAGGTTTGCCATGAGTAAATATGGGACAGTACATATGGTCACTGCAGGAAGGTGGTCAGCTGGTACGTATATGGGGATACCTGAGGGTACGTACTCTGCAAAGATGACGAAACGACATCCTATACCGTCGTATGTGGTGATGGACGATTTCAGAACTCAGGTATTTGTGACATATGCAGGGCAACGACGCACTTGTCGTTTGTGCGGGTCGTATGAACACCTGGCAGCGCAATGTGGTAGAGGACATGGAGACAACGACCTGCAACAACGAAGAAACGTAGAGGAGAGGAGAGTGGAGCAAGAGCAGCCTTTTTCGACACTGCCTCCGCAGAGTGCGTCATGGAGTGAGGAGGTTGAGAGGGCAGAGAAGATGGCAGATGCTACGAGTGGGGGGACTCCCCTTCCTTGGACGTGGTTCAGGCATTGGAGATCATCGCGGAAGTGAATGATAGCAAGGAGGAAGCATCGATAAGGATGACGCTTGTGGATATTTTGGGCACAGGGCCTTATCAGGAAGAAGGCACGGTCCTGGATCTTGAGACTACTATGGAGGACGGAGGGGCGAAGGTAGTTCGTCCTAAGGTGTGTGACAAGGCTGTCTTGTCGGTGAATATGGTGAAGGTTGAGGTTCATCGTGGTGATGAGCTTGATGACGAGATGCAGGTCGACGGTACGACGCGAAAGCGCGCAGCAGCGCTTTATGATTCAGATGAAGTGCTTACGCCCGCACAACGTTCAGGGAAGAAAACATGGGCGGATGTCACGCAGAGGGGTTCAAAAGACACTCAGGGACAGGGATCGAGTAAGAGTGCACAAAAAGGGGGGGAGGGATAAGAGTGCAATGAGGCGATCAGGTGACAAAAAGGTTGTGTCAAGAGGGAAACCTTCTTTGTCGGTTTTAAGTGCTTGACATTGAACATCGATGGTTTGAGGTCGCAGAGAAAGTGTGAGTGGTTTAGGGAGTTTTTGGAGCGTCATGGTGTTGACGTTGTGTTCTTGCAGGAGCATAATTATAGACATGGTTATGAGTTGAAGGTGGAGGGATATAAGGTGTATGTTGAACATGCAGTCAGATTGAAAGGCGGTGTGGCTATATTGGTAAAGGAAACTAGCCCGTTGGTCGTCAGGCATTGTGAAGGGGGGAGGGGAGGGTGATACGTGTGGATGGATTATGGGGTCAGGTACAGATGATGTTGGTGTGTGTATATGGCCCGGCAGAGGGTGACATGCGCATTAAGAATAAATTTGTGAGGGATGTGCTAGTTTACTACTTGCGTGGATTGCCAGGGGTAGCTGTGATAGGAGGTGATTGGAACTGTGTGATAAGGCATAAGGATGTGGAACCGAGGGGGGCGGGGCATTGTATGGGAATATTGGGAGAATTGTTATCAGGGTGGGTTTGATCGTAGAGCATACATTTATTAGGCGTGGGTATGCTGCTAGGCTCGATCGTTTGTACGTCCCCAGAAGGGTAGTAATACATAGGGTGAGGGTGTTGGATGTGGTATTTTCTGATCATAGGGGTGTTATGGTGGATTTGGGTTGGGAGGGGTTGCCACGAAGGGGTAGGGGGTATTGGAAGTTAAATGTAAAGTTGTTGCATGAAGAAGAATATAGACAGTCATTTAAACAGTTTTGGGAGGGGTTGGAGGCAGAAGCGCCTGGGAATGGTGATTTGGTTAGATGGTGGGACTCGGTGGCGAAATCAGGTATTAAGGATTTTTATGTACGTAGTGGGGGGAATATAATAGGTTAAAGTATGGGTTTCAATCTTATCTTGAGGGGCAGTTGAGAGCTTGCTACAAACGTGGGAGGGTTAGTTACCCGGTGGGAGATATTGAGGGATTAAAGGAGAGCATAAGGGATTTGCAAAATGAAAGATTTGATGGTGCACGCGTTTTGGCGGGGTTGGAGGAGGTGTTATGGGGTGACAGGCCATCGGCGTGTGTATTGAGAGGACAGAATAAGAGGAGAGCGGCGACGGAGATGATGGGATTAACTGTTCATGTGGGGATGGGAGGGTATAGGGAAGGGCAGGTATTGATGTCGACTGAAGGTATGAGTGGATATCTTGATGCATGGTTTAGGTCATATGCACAACTTGTGGGTATACGAGATGATGCTTTAAGGGAAATGGGTGGTTATGTGCAATGCGAGCTTGATGGTAGAGATAGGGAGACTTTGGAAGGACAGATTACGGAAGGGGAAATTTGGCAAGCTATAGCAGGTGCAAGTTTAGGTAAGGCACCGGGTGTAGACAGGTTGCCTAATGATTTTTATGTTAAGAACTGGGAAGTATTGAGGAGATTTTTAGTCAGATTGCTCAATGTAATGAAGGAAGATGGGGCAATGGGTGAGCAGCGAAGGACAGATAAGATAAGATTTCGTTCGGATTTTTAACCCCGGAGGGTTAGCCACCCAGGATAACCCAAGAAAGTCAGTGCGTCATCGAGGACTGTCTAACTTATTTCCATTGGGGTCCTTAATCTTGTCCCCCAGGATGCGACCCACACCAGTCGACTAACACCCAGGTACCTATTTGCTGCTAGGTGAACAGGACAACAGGTGGAAGGAAACGTGTCGAAATGTTTCCACCCGCCGGGAATCGAATCCGGGCCCTCCGTGTGTGAAGCGGGAGCTTTAGCCACCAGGCCACCGGGCCACCGACTGCTGTTGTTGTATTAGTGCCGAAGGGTGGACAGACCACGGTAGAAGATTACCGTGCAATATCGCTTATGTGCGGTGATTATAAGTTATTTGCAAGGGTATTAGGGAACAGAATCAAACAGGTTTTAGGTAAAGTAATTGATAGAGGACAATATGGCATACCGGGTAGATCAATGTATGAAGGGCATGGAGTTATTAGGAGTTTTATAGAGCATAGGGGGGAGGGGGGAGGGGGTGTTTTGGCTCTGGATTGGAGAGCTGCTTATGATAGCGTAGAAAGGGATGCATTATGGAGTTTTATGCATTGGTTGGGTTTCGGGAGGGGAAATTGTTTCTTGGCAAAAACTTTGTATCTGGGTGCAGTTATGAGAATACAGGTTAATGGACGACTTGGTGATAGCATACAGATGGGAAGGGGTTTGCGACAGGGATGCCCTCTGTCTCAAATTTTGTTTGCATGTCTTCAGGAACCCTTTTATAGGGCAGTTAGGTGGAGTATAGCGAGAGCAAGGGTTGGTTTTGCACGAGAAGGGGAAGCGGGTATAGTGGGTTACGTGGATGATACGACTGTCTTGGTGAGGGATGTGAGGGATTTACATAAGGTAGGAAGGGTGATAGACGTTTTTGGTGAGGCTACGGGGATGAAAATTAATGTAGTAAAGTCCAAGTATTTGGATCTAGGCCCTAGGGGATAGCGTACATAATGGTGAGACTGTTGAGGGTGGGTGGCGTGTGGTAGATCAGTTGTTGATATGTGGGATAGTGTACATGCGGAATGATAGGGATGCACAAGAGGCAAATTCGAGGCGCACCGTGGATGGAGTTTTGAAAAGATTGGGAGGTTTGAGGGCAGAGCAATTAACGTTGCATCAAAGGGTTATAGTCTCGAATGTCCTGTTGTATAGCAAGTTATGGCATGTGGTGGCAATATATCCGTTACGACGGTGTGAGGTGCAACGGTTGCAACTGCGGGTATTCAGATTTATATGGGGATCGGGTTGCGACTGGCTAAGTAGAGGGGTGGTGTGGCTTCCCATTAGCCAGGGGGGCTGGGGCTTATACCTCTTGAAAGCGTATGTTGAGTGTTTCTGAAAAGGGGGTTTGTGAGGGAGGGGGTTAGCGGGGGGGGGGGGCCTTGAAAGACTGCAAATGGATATGCAACGGTGGTGGAGGGGTAGGGATTTAATGTTTGGGGAGGCTATGTTGCGATTTTACTGAAGGTAAGGGATCCGAAACAGCTTAAATTGAAGGTTCTTGAGAGGGTGGGGGGGTGGGTCTGTGGTAAGATAAGATTTCGTTCGGATTTTTAAACCCCGGAGGGTTTTGCCACCCAGGATAACCCAAGAAAGTCAGTGCGTCATCGAGGACTGTCTAACTTATTTCCATTGGGTAAGATAAGATAAGATAAGATTTCGTTCGGATTTTTAACCCCGGAGGGTTAGCCACCCAGGATAACCCAAGAAAGTCAGTGCGTCATCGAGGACTGTCTAACTTATTTCCATTGGGGTCCTTAATCTTGTCCCCCAGGATGCGACCCACACCAGTCGACTAACACCCAGGTACCTATTTGCTGCTAGGTGAACAGGACAACAGGTGTAAGGAAACGTGTCGAATGTTTCCACCCGCCGGGAATCGAACCCGGGCCCTCCGTGTGTGAAGCGGGAGCTTTAGCCACCAGGCCACCTAACGGGCTACCTATTTGCTGATAGGTGAACAGGAGTAAGGAAACGTGTCGAAATGTTTCCACCCGCCGGGAATCGAACCCGGGCCCTCCGTGTGTGAAGCGGGAGCTTTAGCCACCAGGCCACCGGGCCATACCACCAGGCCACCGGGCGGCAGTTGAGGGGGCATACCCTATGTATGCATGGGGTTCTGTATGGAAATGTCTTCAACAACTACGTGTAAAACCAAGTGTCAGGGAGGTTATGTTTAGGTTTTTACATGGGATCTTGCCGTCTGGGGTTGTGTTATTTAATAGGAGATTAAGGGAGGGTGGGGAGTGCAAAGCGTGTGGATGTCCGGAAACTATATTTCACGCTGTGTACTTTTGTACTTGTTTAGAAGATGTGAGGGTCTGGCTAAGTAGGGTAGTTAGGTTAGTGGGTGGGGAAGGGTTACAGGTGTTGCGGGTGTTAAGTTTAGATATAGGTGGGTGGAGTCAGCAGGTGGTGAATGCGGTTGCGTATGTGGTTACTGATTTTATTTATATATCTTGGGCAATGAGGGAGGTGGGAGTCGAGGAAAGGATAAAAGTGTTAGGGGCCACGATGTATAGAACAAAGTGCCGCAATAGGGAACTTTATGGGGGAAGATGGGAGACAGCATTTACTGAAGGTTATCGTAGATTTAGGTTGAAGGATTTAAGAGATTTAAGTGTAAAGTAAGGGGTTGCGGCGGGCTAGTTTTCTTGAGTATGGAAATGTGTATAGATGTTAGCGTGTGTGGTATGTTTGGTAATATAATAAATAAGCTTCTGTTGTGATGTGAGTTTGGTCTGGGTAGTTGTGTAAGATATGGTTTTCACATTGTTTTTAAGAAGGTATTGAATATAATATGTAAGTAGTGTTGTTGCACTACATTATTGTGTGTATAATGTGTGAGAGGGTACATCTCACAGTATGTGTGTTTGATGGTTTGAGGTGACACAAAGCATGATCTAAGTATGTCTGGATTCTCCTTTTGTCCTCAAAGGTGTTATACAAAGATAGTACTGTGGTGTATGTGATGTGTAGGTTTATATGTATTCAACACATGCTTGTGGTTAGTTAGTTAGTTAGTTAAAGATTAGCCGGTATTCTCCCGGCCCGGGCCTTGTCCAAGTGGTGGCCCGGCCTTGGCTCCCTCTTTAGGGAGTGTCTGAGACCTAAGTCTCCCATGGGAGGAGGCACAAGTACCTCCTCATCTTTGGGACCAACTGTTCCCAGGCCTAGCCACAAGCTAGGCCTCTCTGGTCTGCCATCCCCGCCCCAAGGGGGCAAATGGGAATGACAGTCTTATGAGCTAAAGGCTCGGGCTCAGGCACCTACCCTACCCTAGAAGGGTTAGGCATGGTGTCGATATGCTTGTGGTATGTTCCCTCTTCGTTACTTTGTTTCAATTGTCATTTCAGTGTACTTTGTATAGCATTATACAACGGTATTGTTCTTTGCCATATGAAGTGTTTTTTAGTTCATGTTATGTTCTAGGTTTTTGTATGTTAAGATGTACTTATAGACTGTCAGCACCCTGATATTGGTTTTTCATGGCTATGTTCTTGACGTAAGTTTTGGCTGTATGGTATACAGATATATCTAGCCAGTTTATAGACGCATTCCTTTTGTGTCTGAGATTTTTGTATACGGGTTTATTGTAACTGTAATGAGTCGGTTTTCAGATCTAAGCTGTTTTCTTTGTATGTTTATTTGTATTTTGGTATATGTAAAGCTGTAATGTTAGGGATAAGTTTGTAGATGTTCTAGTAGGATTATGATGTTAGGTTTTGGTTTATTGATTAATGAGAAGGCTGGAAGTAATTGTTACATTTTCTCGAATATTCTCTTTTCAATTGTAATGAGCCTTTGTCATATGTCATGTTATATGTAAAATTTATATGTAAGTTAGGTTTTGAGTCATTGAATGTTTATATATGTCAGTTCCTGACCCTGTTACTGTGTTTATTTATAGCTATGTTCTTGCCGTAAGTTATTGTTGTATGTTATACAGCTATATCTTGCGAGTAGTATATAGGTGTAATCCATTTGTGTTAGTTTATTTTGTGTTGGGTTTCTTATGTCAATGTCCGAACCTTCAGGATTGACATCCATACTGTTTCCTTTTATTTTTATATTTATGTATACTGTATTGGTTTTAAATAAAATAAAAAAAAAACTTAGGGAGTGACGAGCTGTTTGTAGAATTTGTGGTATTAATAACTTAGAATATAATAATATCACTCAAGTTCTCAGGCTCCAGAAAAATGGTAACAAATTATGGAAGGCGTAGACTACAACTATCTTTACTTTATTAGTCATATTTCTATCTTAACTACTCGTGTTACTCCACTGCCACTCAGAGCTGCTGTTTATCAGTGGTTCAACTACTGGTTCTCACCGGTTCTGTTATGACTAACAAAACCATCTTCTACGGTTGCCTCGTTGTCAACTGATCCCCCAGATGCAGATGTTGAACAAACATCAGGAATCGATTGACAGACTGGCCCAGCAAAGTATCTGATTGAATACTTTACTTGCAAGTGTTTGTCCCACTGAGTCTTGAATGACTGTATTGTGTTCACGCTTGCAACTTTACCAGGTAGTTTATTCCGTTCTACTATAATTGTAGTTACAAAACAAGCCTTTATATAATTTTATGTTGCATCTCCTGCATTGCAGTTTCATTCCATTATTTTGAATTATGGACTTATTCAGCACTACAAATAGTTCTTGGTGTCTGTGTTTAAAATCTTTCAATATCTTTAAGGTTCCAGTAAGATCTAGTAGTCTCTCTTAAGAGGGAAAAGATTGAGTGCTTAGTGTTTCGTAGTGATGATACTAGTTTGGTAGCTCTTCTCTATACCCTTTCCAGTATATCTTCGTCTTTTATTTAATATGGAGAACAGAACTGGACGGCTTATTCAAGGTGCAGTCTAACAAATGCGTTACAGAGTCAATATAGTGCCTGGTGTTTTGTGTTCAAAGTTTCTAGGTGAGTAGCCTGCAGCTGTCAGCCTTGCCTCTTATTGATAAGCATTTTGAACACATTAGAGCACTGACAGTAATATTAAAAATTCTAATTTAGATTTTATAATGTTGAATATTTAATTTACTTGTTTGGCATGTTATCAACCATGAAATTATTTATAACTGCAAAACTTTTTGTAGGCACATACACGATACTACATTTGTGAGAAATATGAGCAGACGGTAGATTCTCTGAAAGCTAGCGAGGGTGTGAAGAATGTTCTTCAAAGCCTGTGTCGTCTGTACCTCATCTATCACATCACCCTTACTCATGGAGACTTCCTCAAGGTTAGCAACTTAAAAAAGGTAATTTATACGCTTCTGGTTAGCCTAAGTGTTCAATGGTATTTTTTTCAACAAGGTTCTTGATTTTTTTAATTAAATTTTGTTTCGTGATCTTACTAGAAGAAATATAACAATATGAAAAAAAAAATACAGTCGGACACTGGAAATTTGTAATTGTCCGGACCAAATGGTCTTAGTTGTAAACTATTTTAGCTCAAACAAGAGGGAAAATATATAAAAATCTGTGACTAGACTTCCAGGTTTGAAGTGAGCTTGATAGTATGAGACGTCATGACGCCACTCAAACATCATATATTTTGAAGATTGAGACACTTATGCAACATATGGGAATCTTTATTCAGGAAACGTTTCGCCACACAGTGGCTTCATCAGTTCAATACAAAGTAGAAAGGCGTAAGGAGAGGAGGAGTTTGAGGTAATCAGTCCCTCAGCCTGGAGTCGATGTGTTCAGTCCATCAATCTTGTAGAATGTACAGCATAGGGCCGTAGACGTGGCTTATATACTGTAGTGAGGTGAGGTGAAGCAGGCGGAGGCGGGGTCATAGTGGTACCATCCACTAGTCGAAGTAGGTCTTCGTCCAAAGGTTGAACAAGTGTTGAAGAATTCTTTGTAACAAGATCCCATGATGCTGCAGTGTCTGACAGTTGTGATGAATGGTTTGAAAAACCGACAAGCTGAAGATTGAGACACTTATGCAACATATGGGAATCTTTATTCAGTCCATGGACTAAACACATCGACTGATTACCTCAAACTCCTCCTCTCCTTACGCCTTTCTACTTTGTATTGGACTGATGAAGCCACTGTGTGGCGAAACGTTTCCTGAATAAAGATTCCCATATGCTGCATAAGTGTCTCAATCTTCAACTTGTCGGTTTTTCAAACCATTCATCACATCATATATTTTATTATACACTTGAATTTTACACTTTATAACATTTAGTTTTGTGTCTAAGATAATTTTCTTTACCTCTGCACAACTCCATGCATTATTGCACTGTTAGAACTCACCTTATATGTGATAAAATAACTATTATTATAACATAAGCAGAAACATGACGGTAAGTTGGCGCAGAAGTCAGTGATAGACGACTGTCCTAACTCGTGATTTGTAGCCATCTTCTTCATTTATTCCCACAATAAAATAATGCTACATCCCATGGTAAATAAACTTGTGTGGGAAACCGCAGTAGTAATTGATGTTATTATTGATGGCTGTGTCACTTGTGTGTGAGTACAAGAGAAATCAGGCACGTTTTTGCTGACATTTTCATTTGCACTGAAAACTTGTAACTACCTTCATCAATTTCTAACACAGCATAATGATGTATATCTGTGGTATACAATACTGACAAGATGAATTTGACACATGTACAACATCTGGGTATCTTTACTTTGTAGACGTATCGCCATCCAGTGACTTTATCAATACAATACATGGACATAATCTGAAGGCTATAGAACTATAAAAAAAAGACATTAATTGGAAAACGAAGGCTGGGAGACTGATTACCTCGTTTTCCACTGTCTTCTGCATATATTCCTACAGTCTACTGATTACGTCAATGTATTGTAATTGATAGTCACCGGTGGGAGAAGCGTCTACAAGGTAGAGATGCTCAGATGTTGCACATGTTTCTAATTCATCATTATAGAATGATGCACATTTAGTGGATACGTTCGTGTGCAGCAAAACTGCTCCTGCAACTAATACTCGTCATGGTGGTTGGAAGTTTTAGTGTATGTAAACAGAGGAACACACAGTCACAAACACAGTTCACCATAATACTATATAATACATTATTACAAGTTAATCAATCACTGGTTCACAGTTCATATATCATATGTTTGAGCACTGCGGCACTCTGCCATGAGTTTGACAACAGTTTGCCTATTGATACCGACAAGATGTGGAAGAAGACACTTATGTACAGTTCAAAACATTTATTATAGGAAGCGTTTCGCCACTAGTGGCGAATGACTTCCCGAATAAAAACAATGGATGTTAGTGCTCGATTATACCAAAACACACACACACACACACACACACACACACACACACACACACACACACACACACACACACACACACACACACACACGCACGCACACGTACATACATATAACAAGTAATTCAATAAATATCTATTTTGCTAGTGTGGAGCACTGACGCCTAGAAACATAGCTGTTCTGGAGGGTGAGATGTGTGACCTACTGGCAGTGCTACGACCCCAGGCCGTATCCATTGTCGATGCCTTTGATATTCCTGATGAACTCTTGGGTTCCACCCTGGGATGTTGGGATGGTAATGTTTACCAAAGGTAATGTAAAACTTCATTATCAAACTTTATTATCATTAGCCCATCTTCCTCATTTCCCCTTTAGTGGAGAGACAGTAGGGAAGATAAGTTATCAGACCATTCAGTTACCCCCTTTATCGCACTGCGACAGTTTGTCTATCATTCATTATCTACATGAATTTCTCTTTCATATAGTAAGAGTTTGTTTGCATTTAACACTAATGGACATATCATTTATCTTGAATAAAAATCGTGTAAAACCCAAAATAAGGAAAAAGAAACTCAGGGGTATTTAACGTAGAACAATTATTGTTTACTAAATCGTAATAACACGACTGCACACACAAGTAGTTAACACACTGGCCTGTGAGATTTAGAGCTCACTTGCCATGGGTTCAAGCCCCAACCATTCCGTGATTTAGGACAGTTATTAACTCTGGATACACCAAATATAGCCACATATTCCGCATAGGCACCACTGTGACCACAAAAAACTTGCATTTGTGATCAGTGATGCCTATGTTAACATTCCTATGGTGTAGAAATATACCTAGCTGGATGAATCTTATTGAAGCTAGCTGACCCAGTGGCTAACGCGACGGTCTGGAGTTTTGAGACTCTGATCGCGGGTTCTAACCCCACCCGTGGTATGGTTTGTTTTGCAATCGTGTCATTACGATTTCGTGAGTCCAGTATGTTGTTATGGCAGTGTGCGGATTTGGGACCAGGCCCTCGAGTACTTTCCAGGTATATATAATCATGTCTCTCTCTCTCTCCTCTGCCCCAGTGAGTACATATTCAAGACTTTAAGGCGTTCCCAGTAATTTAAATGCTTTACTGGCTCTGTGTGCCGTAAACGATCTTTGCATTTGTTCAAGCTCTGATATTTCTCCTGCCTTGAACGGGGCCGTCAACAATGAGCAATATTTCAAATGAGGGAGCACTAGCGATTTGGAAAGTGTCACCATTTGCATTATTTCCCGTGTTTCGAAGGTTCTCAATACCCACCCTGTCATTCTCCTGGCTATTAGTGACCTTTGTCTTATTATGTTCTTTGAAAGAAAAGTCACCTGACATAGTTATTCCCAAGTCTTTCACGTGTTCCTTTCGTTCTATTTCATGATCCTCTTGAGTTTTGTATACAGTGTTCTTTCGAATTCTTCATTCTTTTCATACCTAAGCAGGTGGCGGTGTTTTGTCCGTGAGGAAACAAGACATTGTCTCCTGATATAGGTCTTAATCAGATGATGACTCGTTAAGTTGTTGATCATTCGTTGACCCTTCCCTGATAGTTTTTTCACTCCGGAGGATTTCTAGCTAGTAGCGTATCCTAACGTTCTAATCTTATGGATATTCAGATCACAGTATATATACAAAGACTATAAATGATGGGAGTTACCACACTATTATTATATTCATGGAGTATCGATAGACTAGTAAGGCTCATACAGCACCTTAGTTGGATTACTAGCGCACTTAGCGCACACACTGATGTCTGGGGGTGGAGACTCTGTATGGGTGGAAACATTAGAACTTGTTTCCACAACTGATGTCCATGTTCATCTAGCAGTAGCCAGTAGCTTAGGCCAGTAGGTGAGATAGACCTACTTAGCATGGGCCATTAGGCCTGCTGCAGTACTCCTCCTTTCTTATATTTTTAATGTTAACTAGGTACCTGGGTGTTAGTCGACTGGTGTGGGTCGCATCCTGGGTACAAAATTAACCTAATTTGCCCGAAATGCTCTGCATATCAAGGGGCTTTCCATATAGTATTATGTCATTGATGTTAGCAAGGCCTGTATACATTGTACATGTAGAAATGAAGATTATTGTTATTGATAATATTATTAAGGATGGAATGAATGATGATGAAAGTTTTTCTTTTTCGGGCCACCCTGCCTTGGTGGGAAACGGCCGATGTGTTAATAATAAATAATTATAATAGTAATATTAAGGAAGCGGAAGTCAGCTGTACTTTTTCTTATATCAAGTCCTCCACCATTATCAAGTAGCACATTGAAAGTATAGCATGGGAAGAAACTAAGTCTTGATATTCGCTTCAGTGTTCCCTCTCTTAAAGATAAATTTTGAAATATGAAGATTCATTAGGTCTGTTGAATATACCATAAACTAATTGCCTTTTTCCATATCTCTCAGGTTGTATGACGAAGCACTCAAAAGTCCTCTGAATAAGACGGATGTACCTGACGCATACTACAAGTACCTTCTTCCACTCATGAAATCCAGCCTTTGAGGGATACCTTCGGTCGAGGCAGTCATAACTATTTTTATTTATAATAATATATACAACCTTTATCTAGTTTTAAGTTTATTGTTTGATATAAGAGTTAAGAGATGCATATAACCTTTTTAACTTCGAGTCTGAATCCTTTGTACAGCATTAAATCCCTTTCTTTCTACATGACCAAACCATTAACCGTTCTACTGCTCATTAATTCTATTTTCATATTATTGATCCATCTTAATTCTAAATTCTTTATTCTATAAACAATATTTACTCCACATATCGTTCAGAATTACCACGTTTGTGCTGCTTTCTACTTAACTGCAACAGTTTTTCTTTCCAAAGACTTGTAAATTCACGTAGCTATATAATATGTGATGTTTTAATTTATTCTTATTCTTATCGAATCAGAGCTCTCGTGGATATATATTTTTAGTCTTGTTATTTCACTGAATATTTTGCTTTTATCAGTACCACAGTCATGTACTTGACTATGCTATTTGTGCTTGGGGATCAACTGCAGCAACACACCTAAAGTCAATAACAACCCAACAAAAAGCCGCAGTAAGAATCACGCAATCCCATCCCAGGCAACAGTCCCCCACTCTTCATGGATCAGAACATCCACACTTACTACTGTACGGTCTACATCTACAGGACCTTAAATTCCAATATTAACCCTGGCCTAAAATGCTTTCTTGATAGTTGTGACAGGACCCACAGGCATAACACCAGACACAAACATCTATGACATTCCCCGTGTCCGACTAAACCTTTACAAAAATTCAGTGGGCCTAAAATCTGGAACACCCTGCCTGAAAACTCTAGAACTGCAAACACATTCATCACCTTCAAAACCACCGTTAGAAAACATCTTATCTCCCTGATACACCCCGTCAGCTAACTACATGAAAACCACCTGGTAGTTCACACTTACACATTCACCCATACCAACTTGCTCCATAATCTGTAATAATTTAGAGTTATGAATTAATCTTAGTCTGTCCGAAAAGCCTAGTCATGCTAGGTGTGATAGTGGCCTCCTCTGTAATTAGTATTTTATAACATGTAAACCACACAATATCGTAAAATATGTAAATCCCGCATTGTAATCTTTATAGAGAATAAACTTGATTTGATTTGATAAGAGGTGCGCTGACTTATTATTTACACAAGAAATTTTTAGTAATATTTCCAGCCACGTGACGTTCTGGCAGTACTTTGATATTTTGTTCTAATTTTTTTTTAATATTGCACATATTTTTAGTTTTTCTGGTATGATGAATATTTAGGGGCCGTTTAGTTGCATGGTGTTCAGATACTGTACGTTCGGTCATACTCATCGGTACCAACGAAGTCGCGTACATTTAAAACGGGTGGACGGGTAAGCCAGTGGAAGGCCTCGGTCAAATGACCAAAAGCTCCAGTGACGGGCTATCATATAACTAAGACTCGCGTTAGGAAACACTTGTTCTGTTTCCTGACGAATCTTACCTAACCTAACCTTTCTTGTGTCATGATCATAGGTTTTGGTGCTCTTCTAAAGTAAATCGTAAGTCTCGAATTTTTTATAAGTACTTCTTACACTTAATCCTTCAAGGGGATGGAAAGTGCTTTGAAGAAAGTGAAAAGGCTTCATCAAAGGAACAGGAGCTACATTTTCTTTCCTCGGATTAAATTCAAACAACTTCAATTAAAAATTTCAGTAATTTTTCTCAAAGCTTGTATATACACACACATAAACCTGGGGTACACCTGGAGGGGGTTTCGGGAGGTCAACGCTTCTGCGACCCAGTCCATGACCAGGCCTCGTTTTGGATCAGGGCACTATCAACCAAGCTGTTACTGCTGGCCACACGTAAACCGGATAGATCAACCACAAGCCCGCTGTAATCAGTACGACTTTTATGTCCTCTCCAGTACCCATCTTGAAAACCGGGTGTACCCTTGAGGGGGGTTTCGGTGGGTCAACGCGTTCTGCTAGCCATCCATGACCGCCTCTTTTCCTGGAAGCCTTATCAAGCCAGAGCTTTATTGGCCAGAGTGATATTGACGTGCGAACTAACCCCTGGATTCAGAGTACTACTTATCTTTCTCAGCCTGCCTTCTGAAACACCAATGGCTATGGTTCCCTAGTAATTTAGGTGAGTTTATGAACTATACTTGCCGTGAATTTCTGTGTATCTCTCAGGTACACAATGACCCTGCTTTCAATGGAGTGTTAGCGTGCAGAGTTTGCAATATTCGTCAGGAGTAAAGTTTTGTGGCAATTGGTTGGCAAATCTCTAGTTTTCAAGGTCTTCATTATCATCTTATCCGCCTGGTCCGGGGGGTGAATCGCCTCAAACCGTCTCCAGTAATAAGGTATTTTCCTAGCTATATTGGTTAAATTTTGTGATTCTCAAAGTGAGCAATTCGCCTGCATTAAAGATTTAATTAACATATATTCAGCTAAAAAAAACGTTTAAGATATTCATATTATGTCATTCTAGTTTGAAGGTCCCATATCCTTTTATAAGTGCGGGTGGTGCACACCCCCTTCGCTTGTGACCTTTCTCATATTGTCAACATTTTCTAGCAGAAAGTGCTTGTAAGTGTGGATCACTGGAAGTGAATTCGGCGGAAGGTATATATATATCAGTGTATTTAATCTTATTTACTACTTATACGACATATATATATATATATATATATATATATATATATATATATATATATGCTCGGGTATGCCACAGTAGTAAATGAAGAGTAAGCAATACCCACTGATAAACGTACCCTGCCTGCCGCCAAGGTCAGCTTCCCCAGTGGTCTGACACTTGACAGAGCAGCTTTCTGCTAGCCTCAACAACATGTTGACAATATTAGCAGCCAGTCACAGAGCAGAGAAGTGGAGGTGTGCTACCACAGCAATCGCGCGCTTCATTTTCTTTTAATTTTCGCTATTCCAAACAGCAAATTTTGTTGCTTTATTTACATAAAACTGTAATTCACAAATGCATACAATAATTGTAGTGTATTTCTATGCAGTGTACATGCAGTCTTATTATATTAAAGTTGACGAAAGATTCTGATATTTTAAGTTCAAGATTTGAATATAGTGTGACTACATTGCTAAGTAAGTTTATTCAGGTATACACAAATACAGTTACATAGATTATCATACATAGCAGCATATGTGTAGAGAACCTAGGATAATCCAAAAAAACAGTCAGTGACTTATTTCTATTGGGGTCCATTACGAACATCATTCATTCCCTTAGCAATGTTCCTGCTAACAAACTGGCAACCAGATTTATTATTAGGCTAAGGATCTCATGGTTTATCTTGCTTTGCATTATACTGAATCGTCATTAGTATTGTGGGTCCCTTTTTTCTGTACTTTTTTGTTAGCTTTATTAAAGTTTAAAACGAAGAGGACACGTAATTTAAGATAATGTGTAAGGGAAACCTAACTCAACTGTCAGGTCAATTATTAGTTAATAATGTATAAAAAAGATGAATATTAAATTTAATTTCCCCTATAAACAAGAACAGTGGCTTGTACCACCTAAGACATGCAATATTCTATGAGGTTCATATAATAAAGATATCAGACTAAAACCGAACTATGGTTTTATGCATTGTCACATAGACTCATTCTTTTCATCAAGATGCTCTGTTCTGATAAAAAAAAAAAAATCTGAGAAATAGATGACAAATATCTCAAAATAAAATGGAGAGGGTCATTCTGGGCCTTGAAACAAGACAACATACACACTAGGATGATCTTCATAAGGAAGAAATACCATATGTGCCACATAGTCACATAGCTGAAACTAAGCAACAAAATTTCTGCCAAAATATCTGGCATTACATTTTGTAAAAGTTATATAAATCAATATTAATACAGTACTCTGAGAGAGCGAACATAACATTGCAGAACCCAAAGTGGCCAGGCATCCAACATTATACACTAACAACAGCACTGTACGACCCTTGTGGGTTTAGCGCTTAGTTAAGACTATGATAATATACACTAACAAAAGACCGAAATAGGCTGCGTGATCATGTTAAGGCCAATAAGTTTCAATCAGTTTAAAGCTAAAAATAATCACAAGAGCACATCTACAGACTGGGATGAAAGTGATTGTTTTTTGTATTGTTAACAATGATTTATTAATACGAGTCACTACTGTAGCATTATAATAGAATCAGGCGGACCAACAGAAGCAACAGCCTGGTTGACCAGGCAAGTACCAGACAAGCCTGGTGTGTATATATAACAATTACGTTTAATTACAGTTGTATAAATATATAATAGCCTGTAAACTCTGTAGTAAATTTGAATCAGCTATTTTTATTATTGCTTCTACTGCACCACTACTACTAGCAATAATAATGATAATAATAATAATAATATAGAAAGGGTAGGGGAAGGGAGGGGGTGGACATAGACCAAGTATTTACAGTGAAACATATAGGTGAAAACTATTTAGATAAGGTTTTTGTTACATTTATGGATTTGGAAAAGGCGTATGATCGGGTGGATAGGGGAGCAATATGGCAGATGTTGCAAATATATGGAATAGTTGCTGAAAGCAGTGATTCTTACGATAGTGAGGCTCAGGTTAGAGTATGTAAGAGAGGAAGATTTTTTCCAGTAAAAGGTCTTAGACAGGGATGCGTGATGAGTGAGCATTAGAACAGAACAGAACAGGACCCACTAAGGGTGAAAGGGAAGTGGATTATTATTATAAAAAAAAAAGAAGCGCTAAACCAAAAGGGAAGTGGAGATGAAGAATAGATGGGGGAGAGGAAAATAATTACATATAAAGTTAGTCGGGGCTAGACCCAACAACAAGCATAATGAAGAGTTTTTGAGAGAGAAAACAAATCAAGATGAAGTCAGCACTGCAATTTGCTCCAGAATATTTTTTTCGCAAAAAGGAAAGAAGACGGTGGGCACAGTGTTGCAGGCCATTGTCATTAAGTCCCACATGTCTCCGAGGTACATCAATATCAGTGAGTTAGTTAGTTACTTTAATATGTTTATTATGCACCCCATACCCATACCCAATGTAGTATTAAATTCTTCCCAAATTTTATTAATTATAAATGGATCTAATTTATATAAACCAAAGGAAATATTCATATTATTTTCAAAACTGCTTTCTGTGAAACAAGATTCAATTATATTTCTGTCAACCATGGACTTGCTTGATACTACTTTCTCAACTTTTTGAAAATCAATTGGATGGTTAAAATCTCTCACATGAATGAATAGAGCATTGGAATCTTGTCCAGTTCTAATGCTATATTTATGTTGTTTTAATCTTAGTTCGAGACTTTTACCAGTTTGACCGTAATAAACTTTATCTCAAATTTTACAAAGAATCTTATAGACACATCCGTCAGCATTTTGGGAAGAATTCTTATCAAAAGTTTTTTTTACTGTTTCAAGATTTTTAAATACAACTTTGATATTAAAAGTCTTAAGAAGAGAGGGCATATCAACCGGGTTTTCATGGTAAGGGAGAACCAACATATTTTTAGTTGAATAAAGTTGTTTGTCCCTTTTTGTTGATTCTCCCTTACCATGAAAACTTGGTTGATATTACAACCCAGGAATCCAAATGGCCTGTTATCCCGGGTGTAATGGGAGCAAAATAAACACAGCAGAAAAAGTTTAGACTTACATTATCCTTCACCAATTTGGAACAGCAATATGTACACTATGTACAGTGATAAGTATAGTGCACTCCACGGTAAGCAAGACAGAAACAGAAGCCACAAGATAGCAGACCGTGCTTCAACCAGCTCGAGAATGGGAATGACAAGGGCAGACAGGAGAGCGGTACCCACATAACCTCTGCAATTGCCAAAACCATCTTCTTATTGGCTAGAACCTGGTCACTAGTTGAACGACGGGGCCCCATCATCAACTCTTAGCAACCTGGTTCGCTGGTTGGGGGAGATAGCCTGTAAATGAGGGTGTGTACATGCGCCGAATAAAGGTTACGTACTCTTTGCATGCCACAGTTGATATGCCTACTTTTATTGTTCCTTGATAGTGTGAGTGGTCACGGGCGCGCTTGGAGCTTCATTATTCTTTCGCAGTGATTGTTTTGCATGTTCTGGGATCGCCTGTTTGCTGTTATTTTATTGCGC